CAAGGTTCTTGTTTTTCTTTATTTAGGGGGGAGAGGAAAGAGGTAGAAGGGTAGAGAAGGTGGATTTCTGTTGATTAAAAAAACCTGAAAAGTTAAATTTTTAAAAATTGGGCCTGAACTAGGGTAGATTTTTTTTTAAATTACTTTATTTATTTATTTTTTTAAGTATGAATTTATTTATTTTTAGTTTTCAATATTTACTTCCACAAGATTTTGAGTTCCAAATATTCACCCCATCTAACCCCTCCCCCACCCCAAGATGGCATACATTCTGAATATCCCTTCCCCTAGTCTGTCCTCTTTTCTATCTCTCCCCACTTCTCTTATCCCCTTCCCCTTCTATTTTCCTATAGGGCAGGATAGATTTCTGTACCCCATTTCCTGTATTTCTTATTTCCCAGTATTTTTTTTTAAACGTATGTTTTTAAAACTTTAGGTTTCAAATTTTCTCCCTTCCTCCCTCCCCACCCACCCTCATTGAAAAGGCAAGCAACTCAACATAGGTTATACATTTTGTATATATTTATATTATGTATAAATTGTCTTCTCCAGTAGGATGTAAGCTCCTTCAGAGTAAAGATTTTCTTGTCATTTTATCACTTGTACCTAGCACAGTGCCTGATATGTAGAGTGTTGTAAAAATCTTGGTGCTTTTTTTTCCTTTTCTGAGACAATTGGGGATTAAGCGACTTGCCCAGGATCACATAGCTAGTAAGTATCAAGTGTCTGAGGCTGGATTTGAACTCACTTCCTCTTGACTCCAAAGCTGGTGCTCTATCCACTGTGCCATCTAAGCTGCCCCACTTAGTGCATTTTTAAACTACTAAAGCCTTAACACTTCACTAAAACTTTGGGAACATTCTGTATAGATGGCAGTTATGCAAAACACTTCCATAGCAGACATGTTGTGAAACACTAACTCTATTTCCCTTAATCCTATCTTGCCCTCCCACTTATTCTATTTTTTCTTTTGACTCTGTCCCTCCTCAGAAGTATTTACTTCTGATTACCCCCTTTCCCAATCTGCCCTCCTCTCTATCATCCTCCTGCTGTCTTGTCCCCTTCTCCCCCTATCTTCCTGTGTGGTAAGACAGATTTCCACACCCAATTGAATATGTATGTTATTCCCTCCGTAAGCCAAATCCTATGAGAATAAGATTCACTCATTCCCTCTCACCTTCCCCCACTTCCCCTCCACTGTAAGAGACTTTTCTGGTTTTTTTTGTGAGATAATTTACCCCATTCTACCTCTCCCTTTCTTCTTCTCCGAGTATAATCCTCTCTCTTCCCTTAATTTTATTCTCCAGATATGACCACTTAATCTTCAACTCACCCTGTGCCCTCTCTCTATCTATACATACATACATACATACATATAATTTTTTTCCTCCAACTACAGGGTAGAGGTTTTGTGAGTAGAGAGAAGTGGGCTGGTGTGAAAGTAGGCTAGACAGGACTTGGCAACTGTGAGGGAGGATGGGTCGAGACTGACTCCAAGGTTGGAAACTTAGACAAATGATTTGGTGCCATCAACAGAATTGGGGAAGTCTGGAGAAGAGTTGGCTTTAGGAAAATACACAAGTTCTATTTTGCACATGTTGAGTTGGAGATATTTATGGCACATCCAAGTAAGAGATGTTCAGTAGACAGTTGGCAGTATGGAACTGGATCAAGAGAGGGATAGCAATGGATATACAGAGGTGTAAATCACCTACACAGAGATAATAACTGAATCCTCAGAGCTGATGAAATCACCAAGAAAGAAAATTTAGAAGGGGAAAAAAAATTTAGAGGCAGAAAAGAGGGTTCAGGCTGAACACTGGGGAAAACCTACATTTAATAGGTGGGCTCAAGAGGGCGACTCAACAAAGCAATATGTAAAGGTCATAAAGGTTATTAAAGAAGCCCAGGGAAAGCGAGTGTAGAAGGAGGAAATGGTCAACAGTATCAAAAGCTTCAGATAAGGAATGAGAAAAGACCACTGCAATTAGTAGTTAAGATATTACTGATAACACCAGAGATAGAAATTGAAAAAAGCTTTAAGAAAAACTAACTGAACCAGGACTTGTCACTCAAATAAACTTCCAGAGGAACAGGGTGGCCTTTTACTATAACAATTCTTGAATCAGTACAGCAGATACTCTACACTTAGAGGACCTGGGTTCAAACTCCTCCTCTTGTTGCTTACTCCCTGTGTGGCTTTGGGCAAGTCACGTAACTCCCTGGGCCAAAGTATCTTCATCTCTAAAATGAGGGGATTGGATTAGACATCCACTGGGCCTCTCCAGTTCCAACATCTATGATCCTACGGTTGCCCATACTGCTAGTGGAGAAGCCAAGAAAACACATCACTGTAGCAGGACACCCAGCATTGCCCCAGATTCTTCTTCTAGCTGGGGAACAACTAAGGGGCTCAAGTAAGAGTTCTTAAACCTCACTTATATTATGAGCCACTTGGGCAGTCTGGTGAAGGCTATGGACCATTTCTCAGAATGTTTATTGCACACATTAATAATTAAAAGAAATTCTAAACTTTAGAGGTTAGTTAAAAAAAAAGATGTAATTCTTTTCCCCCTCAAGTACACAGACCCCATGAAATCCATCTGTGGATCTTCTCTACCCCACAAGATCAGAACCTTAAGGTTAAACAGATAAGCCAACATCTTTTTCCCCCCCAAGAAGACTGACAAGAGAATAACCGTAGTGCAAGAAATTGTTCTGTACTGCACTGAGACCTAGGTTCTAGTCTTGGCTTTGTCATTACCAGTTGTATTACCTTAGAAAAACTGCCTGAGTAATTACATATGTCATACATGAAGTTCCCATTTTCAGAGAGTACAATAAAGTGCACTTATTAAAACTTTAATAGCCTTAATTTAATTGCAAGGAATTTCAGTGTCATAATTTCAAATCAATGAACACCGATTTAGTACCATCTATACAGAATGTTCCCAAAGTTTTAGTGAAGTGTTAAGGCTTTAGTAGTTTAAAAATGCACTAAGTGGGGCAGCTTAGATGGCACAGAGCACCAGCTTTGGAGTCAAGAGGAAGTGAGTTCAAATCCAGCCTCAGACACTTGATACTTACTAGCTATGTGGTCCTGGGCAAGTCGTTTAATCCCCAATTGTCTCAGAAAAGGAAAAAAAAGCACCAAGATTTTTACAACACTCTACATATCAGGCACTGTGCTAGGTACAAGTGATAAAACGACAAGAAAATCTTTACTCTGAAGGAGCTTACATCCTACTGGAGGAGACAATTTATACATAATATAAATATATACAAAATAAATACAAGATAAAAAAAGAAATAAAAATAAATACAAGACAAATACCCTATATTTTTTTCCCTATTAAGATGTAAGCTCTTCGGGAGAAAGAATTATTTCATTCTTTGAATTTGCATCACTAATATTTAGCACAGAATCTAATATATAATAAGTATTTAATAAATTCTCTGTGATTGATGGAAAGTAGTTAGATAGAAGGGCACTAGAAGAAGAAAAGACTTCAGGTACAAGACAGTGCTAGAGTTGCATCTGAAAGAAGGATGTTGGGGCAGCTACATGGCACAGTGGATAGAGCACTGGCCCTGAATTCAGGAGGACCTGAGTTCAAATCCGGCCTCAGACACATAACACTTACTAGCTGAGTGACCCTGGGCAAGTCAACTTAACCCCCACTGCCTAGCCAACACAAACAAACAAACAAAAATTAAAAAAGAAAGAAAGAAAGACAGAAAGAAGGAGGTGAGGAAGAAGGGAGTTCCAAGCATAGAAGATAGTGAAAATGCCCAGAGTTGGGACATGAGGATCTTGTACAAGGGACAAACAGCCAGAAGGCCAGTGTCAGTGGATCAGCATACATGGAGTGGCGTAAGCTGTAAGAAGACTGGAAAGGTTGGAAGAGGCCAGATTACAAATGGCTTTCAAAGCAAAAGAGAGAACTTTATATTTATCTTCGAGGTAACAGGGAGTGTTTATTGAATAGGAAGGAGACATGGTCATATTTCCACTACAGGAAGATAAATTTGACAGTCGAGTGCAAGACAGACTGAAGCAGAAAGAAGCTGGAGGCAGAAAACTATTGCAATAATACAGACGTGAGGTGCTGAGGACCTGTACCAGGGTGCTAGCTGTTACAGAGGAGAAAAGGGGGAGTAGAAGACAAATGTACCAAAGGTAGAATTGACAGGACTTGACAACTAATTGATTATTGGGGGGGAGGTGAATGAAAGTGAGGAGCTGAGGATGACACCCAGTTTGCCAGCCTTTGTAAATGGGAAGATCTACCTTTGACAACAGAAAAGCTGGGAAGAGGGGAGGAGTAGACAGGGAAATATAATTAGTTCAGTTTTAGACATGATGAAATGAAAATTTTGAATTTGAAGAAGTCCTATAGAAAATTGGAGATGAGACTGGAATTGAAGAGGTTAGGGCTGAATAAACAGATTTGAGACTTATCCAAATAAATATGATAATTGAATCTATAAGAGCTGATAAGACAACCAAACAAAACAATATAGAGGTAGAATAACTATCTGCTGGGATTCTGAGCATGAAAATTTACTGTCGTTCTTTTTAACCAGTTCTGTGACTTTTTTATTACGTGTGAAGGTAGCTCCCAATGATGAACTTCCTCTACCAATGCTGGTTAGCACCTTCTCTGAAAATTACAGTATTGTAGGGTTACCTGGACTACTGAAAGATTAAATGACTTGCCTAGTATGTGCACTTAAACCCAATTCTTTCTGACACCAAGACTAATTCTCTATCTGCTGCATCATGCTGTCTCTTAACTGCAAATGATGAAAAAGAATTTCCATATTGACTGTCAAGTACACAGAATAGAATATTATTAACACTTTATGCTATTCATTAAATTTTATCCCACCACAAGTTTTAAAATGTTTATTTACATCTAAAAAAACAAAATCAAAACCTCTCTATAACAAGGCTCATTGTAAAACCATTATGATCGTTTATAATAAAAGAACCATACCTGGCAAATTTTTTCCCAGATCTCATCACAGCCAGCCTTCTCCTGAAAACTCAGAGCCAGGTCATAGTTTTCAGCTTCTGACCAAACAATTAATGTATCCTGTTTAAAAACAAAGATTTTTTTCTTAAAATTTCAGATGAAAATGTACTCAAGTAATGCATGTTAAAGAAATTACTCAAGATATAATGAAAAATTAAATGTAGTTTCAAGAAAAATTGGTATACATTAAATGGTAAGAAATAATAAGCAGAACACTGAAAACATTCAAGTTATCCATTCAGGCATATGTAATTAACATATCATTTTCTTCATGCACAATTTCTAAGATTAATCTATATTGCATCATTCTTTGAATATTAAAATTACTTTAGAACAAAAATAAATAATTCTATATCAAATAAACAACTTTCTAAAACAACACATGCTATAATGGTTTTTTTTAAAATCCTTGATAGGTGGCAGAAAAGTAGAAAAATTATGCAACAGGCTGATTTTGTCATTTTTCTCCAGCCATCTCCCTTCCTCACTTAAGGCCAACCAACCTGTATCTTCTTCTCCCACTTAGTGGACTAGCCACTAATTCTTGGTAAGGTACTAAAATAATAATTGCAGCTGACATTTACATAAAAAAAAATCATAAAGTATTTTACATACATTTTATTTGATCATCACAAGCTTATGAGATAATTTACTGCTAAACCCAATGTTTTAAGAAATAAAGACCAAAAAAAAAAAAAACCAAACCAAAAAGTAGAGACGAGGCTCACAGACAGTGACTTTCTCATGTCACCTATTAAGTGTCAGAGTAAGGGAGGAATCTTAAACCATGTTTTAAAGTATAATCTCTCCTAATATTTGGGGAGACCTGTAGTCAGAAAACCATTCAATATAGATAAGACTGAAACTGCATTTGTCTAAAGATATTACTTATATTATCTGGATAAAGAGCTACCTACTTTATTACTAAAGCCAGGTCTGAACATGGCAGGTCAAGTTATTCCTAGTGGTTTATAAGTAGCAGATTTAAGGATAGCTCATCACATCTTCCCTCTTCCCTCAAGTATCCCTTGGCTTCCAGAATCATAAGGGAACTTTCCTTTGAGGATGTGACAGGGTCAGCTTTTTTTTTTTTAATTTTTAGGCAACTGGGGTTAAGTGACTTGCCCAGGGTCACACAGCTAGTAAGTATCAAGTGTTTGGTCTGAGGCCAAATTTGAACTCAGATCCTCCTGACTTCAGGGCTGGGGTTCTATCCACTGCGCCACCTAGCTGCTCCCAGGGTCAACTTTTACAAATGGTTCATACTTATATAGGGGCCTCTTCAAAGAGTAGCTTGCTTGTTTTGCATAAAAGATTAGAAAACATTAACGAACACAAGTTTTACAAACTAGTTTTGGAAAATACATGCTGGTTATTTGTTTTGGTTTCACACTCAATCACTTCATTCGGTTTCTTAGGATCCGATCTAATGTTAGATGGCACCTCAGAGGGCATCTAGCCCAAGTCCTTCATTTTACAGTTGAGGAAATTAAGATACAGTAAAGTTAACTGACTTGTCTCAGGTCATAAAGATAGCAGGCACTATGGGTGAGATTTAAATCATGATCCTCGGACTTCAAAGCCAATGCCCTCTCCAATGTTTGTTTCATTTTCTTGAGTTACCTGCCCAAATCATATATGGTGCTGAAGTTTAGCTCTAGTCAGAAAAGTTTGCCTTCTTTTCCCCTTATAACTATTAATGTTTTAATTTCTAGGTGTTTCTTTTCTTTTGTAGGGTCATGAATAAAGTAACAAGTATAGAAGTGGCAAGTATAGATGTGGCAATCATGTGTTCTAATGTTCCCATGACTTTTCTCTTTAATATTAACCTCAGCTAGGTCAAATTCTTCATTTACAGTAAATGCTGGCATCATACATCTTTAAAAGCTAATATAGTAAATGTAAAAGTATCTAAAATGTTCTATCGGTAAAGGCAAATGAGATCACAATATAGAATCTAGATAAGCTTTCCTTAAGAAATGCACACACATACGGGGCAGCTAGGTGGCTCAGTGGACAGAGCACTGGCCCTGGATTCAGAAGGACCTGAGTTCAAATCCAACCTCAGACATGTAACACTTACTAGCTGTGTGACCCTGGGCAAGTCACTTAACCCCATTGCCCAACCAAAAAAAAGAAGAAAGGCACACACATGCATTTTCATTATCTATTAACTTCCTTTTTTTTTTTTTTGGCTTTTTGGTGAGGCAATAAGGGTTAAGTGACTTGCCCAGGGTTACCCAGCTACTAAGTGCCTGAAGTCACATTTGAATTCAGGTCCTCCTGACTCCAAGGCCAGAGCTCTATCCACTGTGCCACCCAGCTGCCCCTTAACCTACTTTCTTTAATAAATTTCATTTTTTGAATCAATAAAAATTTGTTATAATATTCCGGAGGGCAAAGGAGATAGGACTACAACCAAGAATCACCTACCCAGCAAAACTGAGTATAATCCTTCAGGGTAAAAAGTGGTCATTCAATGAAATAGAGGACTTTCAAGCACTCCTGAGGAAAAGACCAGAGCTGAATAGAAAATTTGACTTTCAAATAGAAGACTCAAGTGAAACACGGAAGAGGTAAACAGGAAAGAGAAATCATAAGGAACTTATAAAGGTTGAACTGTTTACACTCCTGCATGGAAAGATGCTATTTGTAACTCATGAGTCCTTTGTCAGTATTAGGGTAGTGGGAGGGAAAAAAATTATATGTATGTATACATAGATACAGGGTACAGAGTGAGTTGAAGATGAAGGGGTGATATCTGGAAAATAAAATTAAGGGATGAGAAAGGATTATACTGGGAGGAGAAAGGGAGAAGTAGAATTATCTCACATGAAACAGACAAGAAAAGGCTTTTACAGTGGAGGGGAAATGGGGGATGGTGAGAGGGAATGAGTGAAACTTATTCTCACAGGATTTGGCTTAAGGAGGGAAAAACATACAATGGGGTATGGAAATCTATCTCACCCTACAGGAAAATAAGAGGGGAAGGGGACAAGAGAGCAGGGGGGTTGATAGAGGGGAGGGCAGACTGGGAGAGGGGACAATCAAAAGCCAATGCTTCTGAGGAGGGACAGGGTCAAAAGAGAGAATAGAATAAATGGGGGGGTAGGATAGGATGAAGGGAAATATACTTAGTTTTTCACAACAGGACTACTATGGAAGTGTTTTGCATGACTACACATCTGTAACCTGTATCGAGATGCTTGCCTTTTCAATGAGGGTGGGTGGGGAGGGGAGGAAGGGAGAAAATTTGTAACCCAAAGTTTTAAAAACATGTTAAAAATAAAAAATAAATAAAAAAAAAATTTGTTCTCTCTCTCCCTCCACCCATATTAGATTGTTAAGTAGTGTATCCTTATTTACTTCTTTATCACTATTTATTTGTTTAGCTTTTTATGTTCCACTTAACACCTATGCTCGAACTTCAAAAGTTCTATACAATTCTACACAGCTCTGGTCTTTTCATCAGGAATGCTTGGAAATCCTTAAAGGTCCATTTCCCCTCTACAGCATTATACTCAGTTTTGCTGAGTAAGTTAAGCTTTGGCTGCAAACCTATATATCCTTTGCCTTCTGTAATGTCACATTCTGCTCCTCTATAGAGGTAGCTGCTAAAATGTGCAGGATCTTGACTGAAGCTCCCTGGTACTTGAATTCTTTCTAACTGCTTGCAGTATTTTCTTTGACTTGGAAGCTCTATATTTGAGACCAAAACGGGAGTTTTCATTTTGGGGTTTCTTTCAGGAGGTAACTGGTAGATATGTTGCATTATGAGTCTAAGACATCTGGGCAGTTTTGAAGATTTCTTGAAATATGTCTAGGCTCCTTTTCTGGTCATGGCTTTCAGGTAGTCCAGTAATTCTTGATCTGTTTTTCAGGTTATTTCTTTCTGCTGTGAGATACTTTACGTTTTCTTCTTCTTCTTCTTCTTCTTCTTTTTTCAGTCTTTTGACTTTATTGTTAATATATCTTGCTGTATCATGGAATCACTGGCTGCTGCTTGAGTCATTCTAATTTTCATGGAGTCTGATGCTTGGGCAAAGCTTTATACTTCTTGTGCTAAGCTGTTAATTATCTTTCCAATTCCTTCTTCCATTGCTTTTTTCCCCCCATTTTCTATTATTCTCAATTCATTTCTTCAAATGTTTAAAATTTTTTAAAAACCTGTTTCATCTCTGTGTAGAAATTCTAGTTGATTTTGGGCCTAAGCTGTATTTTTCCTTGAGGCTTCACGCATAGATGTTTAGGACTCATTTTTCTGAATTTGTGTCTTGAGTGTCCCTTTCACCATAACAGCTTTTTCCTGGTAGGATTCTTTTTCATTGCTCATTCTTCTACATTACTTTCTGACTTTAGACTTGATATTAAGGCTATGCTATGTACTTCTGGAGGGAATGGTCCTACTACTGCTTTCTGGGGGGTATTGAATATTGTGCTATTTCAGGCTCTCAGGCACAATTCGGGCTGAGCACCTGCAAACTTTTAGTGCTCCTGAATGGTCTGATCCAAGGCAAAGTTTGTTCATTGGCCTCCTGGTGTAAGTTCTCCAAGTTCCTGACATGGGCTTGGGTCTAAGCAACAGCAAACTGCTGCTGGACTCAGCCACTATCAGCCAGCTGGAAAGCTCTGTTCATTTGAAGTTACACAACTGCAAGCTTTCCTTTAGTCTAGGATTCTTGCCCTTGTTATCCTGCAAGTTTCAAACTAGGCTATAAGCTGTAAGTGCTAACCCCCACTCTGCTCCTAGAATCTGAGCCACACCAATGCTACTTGCTTCTGAACTTCCTCCCTACTAGATAAAGAGCACCCAGATCATCTCTGACTCATGACCTCTTCTTAACCCAGAATGCTACTCCTGAGAGGAGGTTCCTTCCTCAGTTTGCCCTGGATCTGTGAACCAGGACTGGGTAATGGATGACAAAGCTGCCAGTTGGCACCTGTTTGCCCCAGTATGGGTCTGGGACCTCCTTTTGCCCTGGTATACAGCTTCTCCCAGCTCTGGAGAGCTCTCTGCTTCTGGTCACCCCATGTCCCCAGTGTCCACAAATCTTTCCATC